CCAGTGTTTGCATAAATGCACAATTCCAATTAACACCGACATATGCCAGCTATTATAGTCTGCTTTCTTGAAACAAAAATATAGTTATAACCAGGTAATATTAATCAAGTCAATGCATGTAAATATGATCAATACAACAGTTGCATCTGAAGTTGACTGTACTTCAACAAATGCGCATGAATGGACATTCAGCTCATGTTCGGCTTGAACACAAACTCATGTCAGAAACACCACAGGATTTTTGGCTATGAGAACAGAACTTCGTTATTCAGGCTGAAGCCCAACAGAAGGGTTATACAGTCAAAATAACAGCAAAAAATGACTGAAAATATATCTAATATACTCTGGCTAAATTGTGCATTAAATGTGTGTTTTCCTCAAACATGCACACACATTTAGTGCTTGGCCTGAAATGAATGATTATAGAGACAATCCATAAAAATGAGATTTGAAGCACAAATGACCAGAAACACCATCAGATGATCAAAAAACGTAGGAACGTTGCTTTCATGCAATTTTTCACAGAATACTTGATTGTGATTGGTCAGTGGTGTCCTTCCATACTCAAATACTTCTGTATAATGATGCTAAACTGTATAATTGACTGTCGTCCCATTTACATTTTAAACAATTTCTTTGCAAAACATTTTTCTGCACATAAGTACATGAGTTAGTGTGTTTATATCATGTCGAGAAGACGCTGTGTTCAACTTTGAAAAAACATATCTCGAGACTTATGGCGGGGGTTTTTCCCATCCCACTGCAACTCGTGTTTTTAAATAAAAAATGCACTCAGTGTGATTGGCTTTCAGTCCTTTGTATTAAACTATGCATACAAACATGATGCTGTTTTGTTTATAGTTGTTTAAGCAACTTAATTAATTATAATTGGTTTATAAACATTAATTTAAACATTATGCACTTTTTTTCCACAGATAGTCATGTTATCTTATGCTTTGAATAAACGTGCATTAGTAATATTTTGCTCAATGCGCCCTCTTGTGGCCTCAGGAGAGAAGCCAAAAACTGTTCTTTACTCTAACTGAAATTATGCATTTTAAATTCGAATATATTTTTTATAATATTTAAGTACAAAATTCGAATTTAGATTTTCAGCCATTTTGACTGCTTTTCTAATCTTCGTTGGCTTCTAATCTTCTTTATTTGGACCAACAAGCGTCTCCGAAGCACAACCTGTAAGTACGATTATACGTTATGTGTACATTTTCAATTGAGTGCTCAAAATATCAAGATTTTTGTGCTAATATGGGATGTATACCTAGTGCAGCTTTAGGTTTCCAGGTAAACCTCGATATTACTGTCTTACTGAAATAGTTCTGATAATTAGGGTTGCAAAAAGGTGGAACATTTCCAGTAAATTTCGGAAATATTCCAGAAATTTTGGAAACTTTCCAGGATTTTTTTTTTGAACATTCCAGGGATTTTTTGTAACGTTTCCAGAAATTTACCGGAAATTTTCCACCCCTTTGCAACCCTACTGATAATTCACTGTGAACCCACTATTTCCTAAAGAATGTGTCGATTAATGTAGACTGTCGTTCTAATTACTTTGTTTAATAACAAAGAATGTAGGCATATTTTGGTTTACAAACTGTATTGTTTCATCAGTTAGCACTCGGCTAACGTATCCACCATTATTGTTTTGTGAAGTGTTTACAGTTTAGCAGCTAAACTTTAGCTGTGGGCACGATTCGCTTGCATAAGTGTTAAATAAAAAGTTTTTAAGTCTGCACATTGCATATATCTGCACACAGCTGTATTACAGTTTCTATATGCAACTGTACTCCTAAAACGTCTGTATTAAGTTATACTGTATAAATAGCACATGAAATGAACTAAAAGCTACAACAATCCAATTCTGAATTCATGGGGTGTTTGATGTGAACAAGAGGATTTTGCGCAGTCTGACCTCGTACAGATAATACAATAACAACAACACAGTCAGACGCCTCACAACCCATCGCTACATCGATCCGGCAGTGCTTTAATTAAACACAATGACTTGCATATTTAATGGGCGCTGCTATTATTCTCCTACAGTCCATCTGCATTTGAGAGAAGAATGCAAACAAAAGTCACATGACATCAAAACCCACTCGATTTACTTTCTAATTCATGTTCCTGGCACAATAACCTGATTAACAGTTTCAAAATCTACCAGCCAACGATTAACATACATTTTGGTTCATTTGAGTCAAAAATCAGCCTTACTAGTCCACTAAAAACACTCTGAGCCAATAACAACTTGACCACAGACACAAAAACAATGCCTATGACTATTAATTTTGCATTATTAATTAATGTAATTGCATACTATTAAGTGTAATAAGCGTCTATGAAGGCGTGCTCTCTGCCTGTCCTTCGTTAAATCGGGTGTCCCTCGTCTCAGTCATTAGACACTGATCTTCAGGGAATCTCCTGCAATTCATCACATTAATGACAAAACAGCATCACATCATGTTGCCGTAGTAACCAAGACACACACACACACACACACACACACAGAGATTCCATTCCAATCCACATGGATTTACCAGAATAAAACCACTGGAATGCAACATCATCTAATCTTCAATAAATGCAAAGAAACAAAGCAATTGTGACAGGCCTAACAACCATTTAATTTAGTTGACACATTTTTTGGTCAAACTGAGCAGATAAATGAGAAAAATTACATATCCTGATGAAAAATTTCACACACACACACACGTAGGCAGGCAGGCAGACAGATAGATAGACAGATAGATGATAGACAGGTAGATAGATAGATAGATAGATAGATAGATAGATAGATAGATAGATAGATAGATAGATAGATAGATAGATAGATAGATAGATAGATAGATAGATAGATAGATAGATAGATAGATAGATAGATAGATAGATAGATAGATAGATAGATAGATAGATAGATAGATAGATAGATAGATAGATAGATGATAGACAGGTAGACAGATAGATAGATAGATAGATAGATAGACAGATAGATAGATAGATAGACAGATAGATAGATAGACAAGTAGACAGATAGATAGATAGATAGATAGACAGATAGATAGATAGATAGATAGATAGATAGATAGATAGATAGGTGGGTAGATAGATAGATAGATAGATAGATGGATAGATGATAGACAGATAGGTATGTGGATAGATAGATAGATAGATAGTTGATAGATAGATAGATAGATAGATAGGTGGGTAGATAGATAGATAGATAGATAGATAGATAGATTGTGGCTAATAGGTTTGGGTCTGGGGTCAGGACAGGTGAAGGATGCTCTAGAGGCCCACATCAGGACCGCTCCACGGATGCCCGTCTGTCTCCATCACAGCATCACAGCATCACAACATCACTAAACCCAAGAGCAGCATCAGATCTACTCAAACACACAGACCAAACAACACCTCACGCTAACAGCCCGATTCTATCATTTCCATTCTAAGCGTCACGTTTTTACATTTGCGTATGTGAATAAATAAGGTAAAGCAGATCATATATTCACGACACGTCGACCGATCGCCGTTTGCGCCGTTATTCGTCCCTCATCAGCAGCGAAGGTGTTTTACCTGCCCACTGTCTGGTTGGCCAGTTGTCGCATTCGGTTGAATTGCTTCTTCATCTTCCTGCAATTTGCGCGTGAATCCCGATGGAAGAAACACCAGCTGACATTCCTCACTTAAAGAACACCCGTCAGGAAATATTCCACGGCTCGGGCCATAATGAACGATTCCGCTTCGGTGTGCAACCATCACCTGTCGCGAAAGAAAACGCCAGAAATCATCATTTGCGCTCGAGACTCGGGATGCTCCGCTGAGCGCTGGTGACGCGGCGGGGAAGCGGGGCATTGTGGGTAATGTAGTTCTGTGAGACTGGCTGGAACTACAATTTGACAGTCTGAAGGTCGCGAGAACGTCTTGCATTCAGTTTATGAGATCAAAATAAAGTTTTGAAGCTTTTATAACATTCAAGTAAAAATTCCAGTGAAAAACAAAATCAAAATGACATGCAGCTAATAAACTGAAGTCATTGCTGTGGCTTAACATAATTAGCCCTGAAAAAAAAAGTATAATTTACAGAATATGTTTGTAAAAACAAATAAATAAATAGGAATGGAAACAAAACTATCAGTAGGCGACTAATAAAATCTAGTTATCCTAACAATGTTGCCATCGTGTGGATGTCTTGAAGAAGTACAGCATTGACAGAGAATCAAAATTCAATGTCAGATTAAAAAAATCAAAAAACAAAACAACAACTGTTTTCTTTTTCATTCTCTTGGAATGACCGAACAAACTAACGAATTAATATATATACACATACATTTGGAATAAGTAACATTAAATGACGATAATCATATCATACACCGCAGATTATAAGTTAAGTGTGATTTAAATTCTCATTTTTCAGATTCTGCCAACTTTGTTTTATTGGTGGGTAAATATCATATTCATGCATGCAAATGGGAAAAAAATGTAAGCCCTCCTTTAATATATTTCTTTGTGAGTTTGTGAAAATGTTTCAGAGCTGTAATAAGTAGGCCTACTTTACATTTACATTTAGTCATTTAGCAGATGCTTTTATCCAAAGCGACTTACAAATGAGGACAATGCAAGCAATCAAAATCAACTAAAGAGCAATGATAAGCACGTGCTATAACAAGCCTCAGTTAGCTTACACATAGCAAGTTTTTTTTTTATTATTATATAATAAATACACATTTTTTACTTTAAAACTTTCCTTTAAAAAACTAACGCCTCTCTACCTCAAAATATCTCATTATTATTTATTATTGTTGTTTTAATGTATTTTTATTTTATGTCTTTTTGTACTTCTTCTATTGATTCTTGCTCCTTGTGTTTTTCACAGTGACTCTAAAAAACTTTTTGACTTCACATTTATACAAAACAATGTCTTATTGTGTAAAACCATTTATTTAATAATTTGCGGTCACAGTCGCTTTCTGCGGCAGCGTCATTGGGGCGTGTCCTCTGCGCAGAATCGGTGATGTCAGTCTGCGCATGCGCGCTGTGGAGTGTCAGAGAGGAAAGATGGCGGCCCTCAGAGCGGGTCTCCTGACCCGAGCTCTTACTAAAGGAAAAACACCGGGAATCTCAAACATTATCCTCGGAACAAGAGCAGGTGCTGTCTTACACATATGTTATTTCATATTATGGGAATATACGCTATAAAAGCAGCGTTTTATAGTATCTAATGAATGATAACCTTCATGTCAAGGCTGCGGAGCTAACATGCTAAGCGAACCCCTAATAGTGTTTTTACGTGATTGTAAACAAATGCAATTAATTGCTGTTTTGTTTTAACATATTATAAATTAAATGCCGTGTTATGTTTTTTTCTACGTGTGTTTCTTCAAAATGTGCAATTTTGTTGGCCTTGTGTGCACCTGATTGTGTATTATATACTATAAGATGTATGTTTTTTAGATGATAGATTTAATTACTTAACGTAATTAAACTAGCTATCTAAAATACAAGTTTATACATGATAGTGTTTTTGTTTATGTGTGTCTAAGGTAGTCTGGAGTACTCTTTTCTTGTCTGATTTCTTCTCTTGTTATTGTGTGTAATGTGTAATCATAATAATGTTACAGCATCTGGTCCTTCTAAGGACACATTACCCGGTGCGTACCCCAGAAGCCCAGAGGAGATGGCAGCATCGGCCAAAAAATACAACATGACGCTGGAAGATTACAAACCTTATCCTAATGACGGCATGGGGCGAGTGTCTGTTAGCACACTTTGAGTGAATAATGTATTTTGTTTCCAGGAAGATGAATGGCTGATAATGTATTTAAATACATTTGCTCTGTTGTTACGCAGGTACGGTGATTACCCCATGCTTCCGGAGCGATCGCAGCAAGAGAGAGACCCCTGGTATCAGTGGGACCATCCTGATCTCAGGAGGAACTGGGGAGAGCCGGTGAGTTTAACGTTCATCCTATAAATCCTGGTTTTTGTTTGATGCATCCACACAAGTGCACACATGCATTTACAAAGCCATTTTTCTGTTTTTTGACACTTGACAGCATGCACATTTTTCATGCCGCTCTTCAATTCCATTGCATGCTTTTTGAAAGTACTATGGAATATAGTGTTTAAAGCACCATGCATTTTTGCCTACATGGTGACACGACTCCAGTCCATCAATTAACATCTTGTGAAGACAAAAGCTGCATGTTTGTAAAAACAAATCCATCAAGACATTTTTTTTTTTTTAGCTTTTATTTGGTTCATCTTAGGTCAAACAGAAAGTAACAATAACGTAAATATAGTAATATACTATAAATAATAGATATACACATATAACATACAACCATACATTAATTCAGATGAAGAAAAACGAAAAAAAATAAAAACAAACAGGTAATCACAGTTATACATTGAAATAAAGAAAGAAAGAGAATAAATTAATAATTAAATAAAATAAATAAACAAATAAAATTAAGATACAGTTGTCTCCTTAAAATATTTCAGAAAAGGGCTCCAGACTCTCAAAAAAAGTTTAAGCTTTTGTTTTATCTCAAACCGAATCTTTTCCATCCTGAGAGCTTGTAAAAAAATCAAAAACCCATTGGCGATAAGGAGGGGGAGCCTGGCTGCTGACTTCCAATTCATAAGAATAAGTCGCCTAGCCAGTAGAGTTGCTAATGCTACACTATCAGCCTGTGATATGTTTAATTTAACAGATTCTGGCAAAATCAATAAGACACTTTTAACCCATAATCCATAATAAGCTTCCTCCAGTAGGGTTGTGACGGTGAGGAAATTTTCCCACCTGTTAATCGATGTGTGACAACACCGGTATCACCGCGGGGGCGGGGCGTTCCCTCTTTTCCTGCCCTTCCTTCGCTTTTAAATAGCTTGAAAGCGCCATGCGCATTTTACTTTCACTTTCGGATTAGCAGCAATGCCTAATATAAAATAACAAATAACTTACATAAAGTTTAATAGGTATACAAAACTGGAAACAAGTAAACATGTATAATATATAACCAAATAAATAAGAAACGTAGAACGTTTATTAGCAAAACGAGTATGTCTCTCCTCACTCTTCTTGTCGGTCTCGCCTCACTCTTTTTGTCTGTCTCGCCTCACTCTTCTTGTCTGTCTCACCTCACTCTCCTCACTGGAGAAATTAAATCTGATCTGTGTTGGAGTCTGAGACGTAATATATGCTGTATTTGACACACATATATGAGTAGTGCTACTGTTTTCGTGATTTCTGTTACGATTATTGCGGGAATGTGTTAGTGTTGTTTCTAAGCATTTTTATTCAACGTAATATTAAGATACGGGTTCTTTAGGCTGATCTGACGTTGTTAAATGACATACTTAGTTGCATTTCGAATTTGCACATAATATACCCGTACATACAAAATTGTCGATTTGTTGTTATTCCCTATTTACTTGTTCTATTTTTATTCTTTCATTATCTGTGTCACTGTCATTCTGTTACACCGTGGAAGTCACGAAAACGAATTCCTCGTATGTGTAAACATACCTGGCAATAAAGCTCATTCTGATTCTGATTAATGCAGATACATGGCATGTCAGAGCTGACAGATTGTCTCATCATGTTCTCATCTCTTCAGGATTTTGGAGGAAGATGAGGGTGAAGGAGATACTCAGGACGGCGACACAGGCATGGAGTCCTGCGACAAAGCATCCCGTGTACCTGGCCTTAGGTAACTGTGTCTATGTGTGTGTTTTCACCTGTCAGCTGGTGCTTGTATTATTCAGACGCATCCAGAATGCTGGAGTGATCTGGTCTCGTATCTGCAGGAACTGCAGCGCAGCAGCTGGATGCATCCTTCAACACCAGCGCCGCTCTGGAGATCTTCGAGATGGATTTCGCTGATTCATCCATGGACATGAAGCTCAGAGGAACTCTGCCCACTTCTAACAGGTCAGTTATTCTGCAAACTTCGACTGTGTTTGGAATATCATACAGTACTGCTGCCATATGATATATATTATACAGCATACCATTCAAAAGTTTGGGGTCTGCAAGATTTTTTATGTTTTTGAAGTCTCTTCTGCTCACCAAGGCTGCATTTATTTGATCAAAAATACAGTAAAATTGTGAAATATTATTAGAATTAAAAATAGCTGTTTTCTATGTCAATATCTGTTCAACTGTAATTTATTTCTGTGATCAAAAGCTGTATTTTCAGCATCATTACTCCAGTCTTCAGTGTCACACGGTCTTCAGAAATCATTCTAATATGCTGATTTGCTGCTCGAGAAACATCTCTGATTATCATCAATGTTGAAAACACTTAAAATTTTTGTGGAAACTGTGATGCATTTAATTTTTCAGGATTCACAGATGAATAGAAAAGTTCAAAAGAACTGCATTTAGTCTTTCACAAAAAAAAAAGAAGAAGAAAAAAAGTTACTGAATGTTAAAAGCATTTTACATAAATTTTAACTGAAAATGCAAATTAACCTTGCACTCTAGCATTGTGGCCATGTCTTTTGCATAGACATACACATTCAGAATGTGTAGAAATCTCGTTGAGTTAGTGTCCTCATCTGAAGGTATTTGTGAAGTGATTGTCTGAATGTGTTTGGATGTTTATTACAATCTCTCTCCACACTGAGGTGTACAGAAAACATTCAAAAACTTCTACTTAGTTTTGACATGAAGTGATGGAGCTGCAGCGGTTTGGTGATGTCTCTTCCTCGAAGGTGAATTTATCTTTATATTAATAGCATTTCCCCCCAGCAGTGACAGAATAGCAGAAATACCGGTTGAACATCAGCTTTGGTTTAGAGAGCAGAATGAGTTCTGTGCGATCTAACACGCAAAAAACACACGTGTGTGAACAGGTTTCGTCGTGTGTCACTCTCACTGAAGTGTTATCAATTTGTCGTTTTACAAATTGACACAAAAATGGAATTTCCAGTTTTTCTCTCGGGTTATTAGTTATATATATATATATATGTGTATATACAGTAGTCAACATTTGAAGTGGATCAAAAAAATTAATTAAAGTTGTCCTAACACAAGAACACATTTTGGTTTTAGGACAACTTTGATGAAAGGTTTTGATCCACTTCAAATGTTGACTACTGTGTGTATATATATATATATATATATATGTATGTATATTTATCAGTGCCCTCCATAAGTACTGTTTGCTGTGGAGTCAAGACATTTTCAAATATGATTAAAAGATGAATATGAGATAAAACTACAAATTGTCACATTTTATTATTGGGTGATGAGAGAAAAGCAAGCAATTTGGATGCTAAAAGAAAAGAGGAAGTCAATTAAAAACAAAGAGCGTGGAGAAATCAAGAGTTTGGAAACCACCGGCAACATCAGCAACTAACAACGACCTGATCGGCTGAGAAAAACAATGACAGACAAATCATAAAAGTGTGAAAATGAACCGTAAAATCACCAACAACCTCCAGAAAGCTGGGTGATGCTCTGACAATCTACTGTGCGCAGGAGACTTCGACACAGAATTACAGAAGCTACAGCAAGATGCAAACCTCTGATCAGCAACAAAAATGTAATGATGATTTAATGTATGATGGCAGCAGCTGAATGAATTTAGAAGGGTACAAAACCATCTTGGCTACCAATATTCAAGAAAATGCCACCAGACTCATCAGAAAGCGCTTCATATTGCATCAGAACAATGACCCAAAACACCCTGCCAGTTCAGTCGAGGAGTTTATCAGGGCAAAGAAACATAGAGTCTTAGATTGCCCAAATCAATCTCCAAATTTAAATCCGACTGAACATGAATTTCACCGGCTGAAGAGGAGACTAAAGGCAGAAACTCCCCAAAACAAGCAACAGCTGGAATTGGTTGCATTAAAGGCTGTATATATATTTATATATATAAATAAATGGATAATGTACCTTAATAAAAGTACATGTAATGTGTCAAGGTTGCAAGTTATCACTCAGTGGGGACCAGCTAGTGGTGCACAAAATGCTGCTAATGTTAAAATGTGTCCCTGGAGTACAAAAGCAGTGTTAAGTCGCTGGGGTATATTTGTAGCAATAGCCAACAATACATTGAATGGGTCAAAATGATCCATTTTTCTTTTATGCCAAAAATAATTAGGATGTCAAGTAATAATCTTTATTATTATTGCATAAACAATGACCCAAAACACCCTGCCAGTTCAGTCGAGGAGTTTATCAGGGCAAAGAAACATAGAGTCTTAGATTGCCCAAATCAATCTCCAAATTTAAATCCGACTGAACATGAATTTCACCGGCTGAAGAGGAGACTAAAGGCAGAAACTCCCCAAAACAAGCAACAGCTGGAATTGGTTGCATTAAAGGCTGAGAAACGCATTTCAAAGGATGAGATCAAGAGTCTGGTGATGTCTGTGTTATCGCACGCACTAAATAATAGCTTTTAATCTTTTACAGTAACTGTTCCAATGCTTACGCTCACATATGAACTCTAAAAGTGCTGTCCTTTTTTATTTGGTAAAACATGTATGTGTTGAAACCGCTAATAATAAAATGTGGCATTCTGTAGTTTTGTCTCATATTCATCTTTTAATCATATTTGCAGATGTCTTGACTCCACAGCAAACAGCAATTTGGTCTTTACTTTTTTGCACCCTCAGATTCCAGATTTTCAAATAGTTGTATCTCAGCCAAATATTGTCCTATCCTAACAAACCATACATCAATGGAAGCTTATTTATTCAGCTTTCAGATGATGTATAAATCTCAATTTTTTAAAATTGACTCTTATGACTGGTTTTGTGGTACAGGGTCACATACAGTATTATGATAGATAATATTTTATTTTTAGCATATCTAATGAACATGGGATTTGTGCATTTATTGTTTTGTTTGTTTTTTAATTTAATAATTGTAGCTGAAAATAATCAGACATGAGTTGACTCGTGTGTGTGTGTGTGTGTGTCAGGTTTCACAGTCTGATCTGGGTGGCGTTTGATATGGAGGTGAAGGGCTCGTCCGGGCGACTCATCGGCGGCAGTGAGAGCGGAACCGTGACCGTCTTCAGCCCCGACGCTATTCTCAGCGCGGGAGAGGACGCCGTGATCGGACAGTCCAACAAACACACAGGCCCTGTGCTCGCGCTCGACTACAACCGCTTCCAGGTACAGCTCAGACTCTCGCTTAACATCCGATCACATCCGATGACGCTTTCACAAACACACGTGTGTTTCCTCCGCATCAGAGTAACCTCATCGCCTCCGGAGCCAGCGATTCAGAAATATACATCTGGGACTTGAACAACTTCAGTAATCCCATGACGCCGGGCACAAAGTCACAGGTAGGAACCTTTCTTCGGTGCTGTATTGTTTGGTCAGTGTTCACAGCATCGTAAAGTGACTGCGTTTGTCTCTGTCTCTTCAGCTCTGTGAGGTAAGAGGAAGGTCGTTGGTTTTTGTGAGGGTTTGTGGTGGTTTTGCTGTGGTTTGGGTTTTGATTGACCTCTTCTCTAACCATTCATCTCACTAAACAATGGGTTACTACCTAAAAACACAGTTCATCTGAGTGTGTTTGGTTGTTTTGAACAGTAATGAATTGCAGTAACTGCATTAAATCTTCACCTGGTGGTTTGTAGGAAAGTCACTGGTTTTAGCTGCATGCTTGAGCATGTCACTAAAAATGTATATATTTTAATATTAGAATGGGTGTCTAACTGGTTATATATAGATATGAGGTCATTAATGATTAAAACGTGTATTTAAATATTATAATGGGTGTATAAATGGATATAGATAGATATGAGGTCACTAATATTATAATGGATAGCTAAATTGGTATAGATATATATGGGGGTCACTAAATATTTGAAAAAATATATATATATATATATTAATGGATGGCTAAAATGGTATATAGATATATGAGGTCATTAAATATTAAAATATGTATATTTTAATATTATAATTAATGGGTATAATGAAAAAAGTCAACACACGTAGGCTCCAAAAATACAAAAATTTAGTAACAGACGATCACACAGGTGATGTTTGGAGTTTTCATTATCAATATTTTTTGTGGAGCACCCTGTTTGAAAGTTTTTCCAGTGATGTGCGTGCTTTTGTTTTTATTAAATTTTTAAATTTTTATTTTTTTTACTGAACTGGTTGAATGGACATATGTATGGACATCGATGAGGTCACTAAATATTAAAATTGAAATATTTTAATATAATGATTGGCTAAATGGGCTAAATATATCTATATATAAGGTTACTAAATATTAAATTTAATAAATTATAATGATTGGCTAAATGGGTATATATTTATATATGAGGTCAGTAAATATTAAAATATATGTATTTTTTTTGTGATTGATTTTTAATTTTTATTTGAAATAATAACATTACAGAGCTTGAATAACAGTGTAAATACCAAGGAAAGAAAAAAAAAAAAAAAGTACAGTGAATAATACTTTAGGGTAACTTAAAAGGAACATACAAATAAACCACGGCAGCAAATTACCACACAGAATAATGCATCTTCAATTTAAAATATATTTTATTATAATGTTTGGGTTTTGATTAACCTCTTTAAAATCTCTTTGTAAAGTTCAGCTGAATAAACAATGGGTTGCTACCTAAAACCAGTTCTGGGACAGTGTTTTTTGGGATGTTTTTGTGAGTGTTTTGTGTGAAGTCTCAGGCGTTGTGCTGGTTCTGTCGTGTGTTAGCCGGCAGAGGACGTGAGCGTGGTGGCGTGGAACAGTCAGGTGCAGCACATACTTGCGTCTGCAAACCCCAGCGGGAAAGCCATCGTCTGGGATCTGAGGAAGAACGAGCCCATCATCAAAATCAGTGACCACAGCAACAGGGTGAGAGCATGCACACTAGGGCTGGGTTTTGACACAAATTTCAATATTCGATTCTCATTCACAAGCTTGCGATTCGATTACCGATTCGATTCTCATTCACAAACTTGCGATTCGATTGCAGATTCGATTCGATTCTCATTCACAAGCTTGCGATTCGATTAGATTCTCATTCACAAACTTGCGATTCGATTGCAGATTCGATTCGATTCTTATTCACAAGCTTTCGATTACTGATTCGATTCAATTCTCATTCACAAGCTTTCGATTCGATTACTGATTCGATTAAATTCTCATTCACAAGCTTTCGATTCGATTACTGATTCGATTCAATTCTCATTCACAAGCTTGCGATTCGATTACTGATTCGATTCTCATTCACAAGCATTCGATTCGATTGCTGATTCAATTCGATTCTCATTCACAGGCTTGCGATTCGATTACCGATTCGATTCAGTTCTCATTCACAAGCTTGCGATTCGATTGCCGATTCGATTCTCGTTCACAAGCATTCGATTCGATTACGATTCAATTCAATTTTCATTCACAAGCATTCGATTCGATTCGATTACAGATTCGATTCTCATTCACAAGCTTGCGATTCGATTCGATTACCAATCCGATTCAATTCTCATTCACAAGCATTCGATTCGATTACCGATTCGATTCTTATTCACAAGCTTGCGATTCAATTACCGATTCGATTCGATTCAATATTGATTATTTTGGCTATATATCAGGTACAGTACATGCCAAATTTTCTCAAGGAAAAAAATCTCTCAACTAAAATATACATGAGAGTCAGCTGGTACAACATTACTATGATATTAAAGGTTAAAACTGACTGATTTGTTAATTACGCTTAATGAAGTTTTAAAATAATAAAGTAACAATTACATAATAATATTTCTACTTCAATTCGTTTTTTTTTTATAGATGCACCGGGGACCTGATTATAGCACTTACAACCTGGAAAAGTCAGATTTTGATGATATGTCACCTTTAAAGATTGATTTTCACAGAACACAGTATGAACAAACAAAATAAAAACAGATTAGTTTAAAACATAATTTCATTACAGTTTAATTTTTTAAATACTTACAAATTAAATAGTTCTGTTTAAAGGTATGTTGTTTTAAAAAATAATGCATTTTATTATTTGTTGTTAAATATTATATGTAATGTAGTATTATTATTGTTATTATGATTATTAGGGTTAAATGTCTCATAGATTTTTGTGTGGTTAATATTTTGAATCAGTTTTTTTAAAGATTCATTTTCACAGATGCTGTGAATAAAAAAAATTACCTTTCAACAGATCATAGTTCCAATATTATTAAATTAAAGAGATGTTAATTTATACCAAAAATAATAATGCATTTTATTATTAATAATCATATATAATATATAAAAACATCTAAAAAATGTTATTGTTATTGTTATTATTATTATTTTATAGACTAAATAACATCATAAAATATAATAATATTGCATTATTTTAGTACAATTTAACATAGCTATTTATTTAATATATATGTATTATAAAATCTGCATTTTATTATTACTATTATTATTATTATCATTATTAAAATATAGACTAAATAACTAAATAATAATAAATAAATAATATATGATAAATTTAGTAATTGTATTATAAAATCTGCATTTTATTATTATTATTATTATTAAAATATAGAATAAATAACTACATAATAAAGGAATGATGATCACATGATCTCTCTCTCTGTTCTTAGATCTCGGCTTCGTTTGACACCAGCGACCCGTTTGGAACCGGTCAGACTCTTCCTCCTCTGCAGGTTCCTCAGCCCTCAGTCGAAACCACCATCATCCCTCCGCTAAAAAAGCCACCCAAGTGGGTACGGAGGCCCGTAGGAGCATCTTTCGCTGTGAGTATTACAGAGACATTGAGAAATCTGGTAAGATGTGTCTATGACGAAAAATGTTCGTCAGCAAAGTTTTTTCCCCTGACTAAGACGAGACGATAATAAGGTCATTAAACGATAACTGAGACTATATCAGCATGCAATATTGTTGACGAAAATGTTGTTAAAAGAACAAAAACTTCACCAAACCCTTTTAATTTTTGTTGAGCCAAAACATTTCAGACTGCTGTACAAGACTCTATTATGCGAGCGTTTCACGTGCCAGATATCAAGAGCTCAAATCCCTCAATCAAAGCTTTTCTCTCTGCTTTTTGCTTTATACAATCTGGCAACCATTCATACGCGCTCTCTCTCATGATCTGAAAACACCGACATAAAGTACTGTACAAGTAAGCTGGAGTTCAGCGATCTCCGTTTAAATGAAAGCATCATTCAGCAGTCTGTGTTCTGTCAGGGATCTCCACTGTATTGTTTGCTGATTGTAGCGTTACTTACGCAACCTCTGTTGGACAATAAGTTTTTTTTGCCATTGTTTTAAAATAGAAACATTAGGCTAATGCAATTTGGAATTATTGTAAAATAAATTTCCCAAGTGAACACAATCATTGCAATTAAAATTGAGCAAAATAATCATTTTTAACATTGTACAGAAAGACGAAAATGTGTAAGTTTACACTGACTAAAATGCTCAGACATTTAGTCGACCAAAACTAAAACGGGACAAGTTGACTAAATGTGACCCTGGAGCACAAAACCAGTCTTAAGGGTCAATTTTGTGAAATTGAGATTTATGCATCATCTGAAAGCTGAATAAATAAGCTTCCATTGATGTATGGTTTGTTAGGATAGGACAATATTTGGCTGAGATACAACTATTTGAAAATCTGGAATCTGAGGGTGCAAAAAAATCTAAATATTGAGAAAATCATCTTTAAAGTTGTCCAAATGAAGTTCTTAGCAATGCATATTACTAATCAAAAATTACTTTTTACAGTAGGAGATTTACAAAATATCTTCATGGAACATGATGTTTACTTAATATCCTAATGATTTTGGGCATAAAAGAAAAATCTATAATTTTGACCCAGACAATGTATTGTTGGCTATTGCTACAAATATACCCCAGCGACTTAAGACTGCTTTTGTGCTGCATTTGGCATAAAAGAAAAATTGATAATTCTGACCCATACAATGTATTGTTGGCTATTGCTACAAATATACCCCAGCGACTTAACACTGCTTTTGTGCTCCAGGGTCACAAATATGATAAAAACTAAAAGTTACATTTGACACCAGACTAACACTAAGACTAAATAAAATAAAAAAATAGCTGACAAAATGAACACTGTTGAGCTTCCTGTGAGTCTGTGCTTGCTTCTGTCTCCTCTAGTTCGGAGGGAAGCTGGTGACGTTTGAGAGCCCTAATGTGGCTCCGCAGCAGCAGCAGCCAATCCGGCGACAGGTGCATGTGAGTCAGGTGACCACAGAGACGGAGTTCCTCCAGCGCTCGGACGAGCTGCAGGCCGCTCTGCAGTCAGGATCCTTCAGCAGCTACTGCCACGGCAAGATCAGCAGCGCCCCGTCGGACGCCGAGCAGGACATATGGAGGTTCCTCATGGTACAAACATTTACACACAACTACAACTCCACATGTGACCTGGACCCTGCAGCACAAAAGCAGTGTTAAGTCGCTGGGGTATATTTGTAGCAATAGCCAACAATACATTGTATGGCTCAAAATTATCAATTTTTCTTTTATGCCAAAAATCATTAGGATATTAAGTAAAGATCATGTTCCATGAAGATATTTTGTACATTTCCTACCGTAAATATATCAAAACTTAATTTATGAGTAGTAATATGCATTGCTAAGAACTTCATTTGAACAACTTTAAAGATGATTTTCTCAATATTTAGATTTTTTTTGCACCCTCAGATTCCAGATATTCAAATAGTTGTATCTCGGCCAAATATTGTCCTATATCCTAACAAACCATACATTAATGGATAGCTTATTTATTCAGCTTTCAGATAATGTATAAATCTCAATTTTGAA